GGAGGCGGAGTATAGTGTGGTGTTCAAGGCGACATGTCGTAAATAACGCGCACTTTTCCGCCAGTCTTAGGCGTTATGCCGAGAGAGAAGGCATTACGTAGTCGAGATGACTCGGTTGGTTTGAGAATGCCCGCAGTGCACGTATTCAAAACTGTTTTTAGTAGTCTCTTGCTAGTCTTGCGACGAAAGCTCGGGGCGACGGAGGGCTGTGTGTAAAGACCCATTCACAAGGCAAACATAAACATAAGCATGGCGTTAACATAAAAGTTAGAACTACGTCAATAAGCGGACTCATTTACATTGTGTTCTCATAAGCATAACACGTAAGACGTTAATTTAAAAGCTTGCAAGCTTCAAGCTTCTGTGTTTAAGGCATAACAAAAGAACCAATCACAGAAGGGAAACTCAAAATCGAGAATCGAAATTGGAGTGAAGTCGATAGACGAACTAACGCCATATGGGCATTCAAGTCGATACCTTGAAATCGATTCTCACATCCAACCACTAGTAAACCAGAATGTCTCACAGCCAATAGAGACTTATTTCGCTCGACGTTTATGTTAGACATGTGAATGCTTCAGCCTATCACTTATGTTAATGTTTACGTCTTTGCGCTGTGCTTATGTTTGCGTTTGCATTGTGAATGGGCCTTAACGCCCATTATAAAGAGAGGAAACGAAACCGATGGGGTTTTGCGCACATCAAACGACACTGCTTGCACAGAACGGAGTGACGCCTATTGCTGTTAGCTCCGGATGTACCCTTATTGAAGAGTCGTCTCTGTTAGCACCTTGTAAATTGTTGTCTTCGCGGTCTGTGGTGTCACTGTCTTATTGCGGGGCATCTCCATCCGAAGTACTTTGGGCCTCTATGAAAAGCCGTCTGAAATCCCAATTAATGGGTATTTCGGGGGCCTGCAGTGGTGGTTGAAATTGCTCAAAAAGGGCTAATATATTATCCACGTCATCATGTACGTGGATAATGCCGCCGGATGTAGATCGTCCGGAGGTTCATGCGGCAGGGCGGGGGTGGCAGTGGGTGGCAGGGGGTGCCAGCGCAACCGCCCCCGCGTCGTCGGATGGAGGCTGCTGTCGCGGGGCCGGTGGCATCTTCACCTGGTTGCCGAAATCATCGCAGTCAGAGGCATTAGCTGCTGCGATACACCTTCCGAGTTACATGGCTATTGCCAGAAGACGAACGCGCTCCTTCTCAAAACATTGGTTTTCGGTGGGGGGGGGGAGGAACTGCTCAAATTGAGGACGGAAAATGGGAAGAAGTCTGCAGCATTGTCATCTTGCGCCGACACCCAATCCCGGGCCCTCTCCAGGCCGAATTTGGGTTGTTCCTGCGGTGCGCAGGATTCCTGAGAAGGGAGCGCAACGCGTCGGCCAACGTAGTCTTAGTCGCCGGTGTCGAAGGCGGCTGCGATGCGGCAGTCATGGTGTTCCTCGACGGCGAAGAAAACTCCGCCAATAATAATTTAGATTTAGATTTATTTAGTCAAAAAAATAGTAAAAACTTTATGTGGCGTATGGGGGACAAGATCATCTGCGCACGTTTTCTTGAGTTCCAGAATCCCTTCCCATCATTTTAACATCATAAATATTTGAAAGATGAGTAAAAGTTTAAAATAAATAAATAAATAAAATTAAAAAAGCGCGAGATTAGCAATATTTGAAAAAATAGACATTATCGTTCCCGAGTTTAGGAAAATTATTTGCATTGGTAAACGAATAACAAGTATAATTTTTCTGCATTGCTAACAAAATAGTAACTCGCCTCTGCAACTATGTGCATTGATGCAAGAGAACTAACAGTCCTCTACAATTCTGTGCAGCTAAACTATTGACATTGATGCAGTCTGTGATGTAACGCTAGGAGAAAAATGTCCAGAAAAGTAATTATTTTGTAAATAAAGTAAGGTTTATGGTTATAAACCATAGCCTTTAGTACTCCAGGCCTTTAAAGGAAGCTATCACAAACGTTTCATCTATATTGGTTCTATATATTCAGAGATTATCACGCTGTAAGTCAACGCACTTCCCTTTTTATATATTAGTATGGAAGTATAGATATGGATTTGAACTCCTCATTACATTTGATAGATATTTGTGTAAACCTCTGATTTTTAGTATTTGGCTTTCCGGGAGACGCCACGCCCTAGACACGGGTGCCAATATTTCGGTCGCCATTCTGCGACCTTCCTCAAGGCGAAATGCGCTGACGAAGGTCACAAAATGGCAGCCGAAACGTTTGCACCCGTACCTAGGACGCGGCAACCAATACCGATTGCGGCTTCGGGAGACAACGCTCTCTGCGGATATTTATTGGAAGGGAGAAAGCTGTTATTATTTTTGCAAAGTAGGTAGTTAACATAAAATGATTTAAAATTTATTATTGTTACAAAATTAATATTTTTTGAATAAATGGATTGTATAGAGATCATGATATTAGGTAGTGTTTATTTATTAACGTCAAAAACAATTAAAAATTTTACGTGACGTGCTATGGAGAGAGAAGTTAATTTGAAGTTATATTTATATCCAGAAGCAAAAGAATGGGCAATCTCAGCATTTGCTCAAGGATCAGGGAAACTAGACGAAAACTTGATCGAGTTGGGGTCATTGTTCCAGAAGCTGAAGTACAATACTTGTTTCAGGTTCTTTAGAATTATACAATCTAAATAGTAAATAATACACTTAAAGTCGTTATTAAAATAAATATTACTTTCTTTTTGGATGCTCGGTATATTCTCATCTACTGTATGATGCACATGTATTGTATGTGAATTTTTGTAGTGAGCTGTTGATATTGTCACATGATTAATATGATTACTACGTCGAGTGTTGTAGTTATAGGCATCAGCGTTTGCTAAAAATATATTCCTGTCCTTTAGTAAGTCATTTTTGACATAAGCCACTGATTCTTATATCAAGAGACAAGGTAATGGTAAATACATAGATTAATAAAGAGAGGCTTACAAGAATCACGTGGGTGGGATTTGTTTATTGTTCGTAAAATTATTTTTTGTAATCTAAAAGTCTGGGATGTATTTCCCCAAAATATTATTCCATATCTCACGCGGGAATGAACATTCGCGAAATATACACGACCAGCCCTATGGAAGCTGACTGAATTTGAAAGAACTCTGAAAGCGTAGTATAAAAATAATTTAGTGTTCAATTAATTTAAATGGACGTTCCATTTAAGGTTTGACTGAATTGAAAAACCTAAAAATGTTGTCACCTTAGCATCAGTCAATGGCACACCGTTCATTTTCAACAGAGCTGTTTATTTGAAATGGAAAACTGCATTGAAACCGTTTTCTTTTCATTTTGCAATTAATCTGTTATTACGGAACCAATTTGAAATACCTGATACTGTACTATTTACGGTTTCTTTATTGCAAAGAATATTAGTATCTTTCGCAAAGATAAATGTTCTTCCGTTTCTAATCGTCGAAGGCATATCGTTTACGTATAACCGAAAGAGAATATGGCCTCAAATCGATCCTTGCGGGCTCCTCATGCAATGGGCAACGAATCCGAAAGGTATGCACATAATATTCTATTATTCCAGTAAGGTATTTCTACTCTCTGCGATCATTGTTTAAGATACGATCATAATCAATCTAGAGCAATACCACGAATTCCATACGAAGGTAATTTTGAAAGCGAAATATTACGATCAATGACGTCAAAAGCTCTTGAAAGATCTAAAAATATTCCAATAGGTACTTTGTTTTGATCCATGGATGAGGCGACATCTTTAAGAAAAGAAAATATTTTGATTTTCGAAACCCTTGTTGGCAATCAAAACGCGTCGTGTTTACTAAGAAAGGTTTTCATTCGTACGTTAAAAAGTCTCTCTGATATTTTTGAAAAATACGAGCAAAGAGAAATTGGTCGATAATTTTGATTTAATTCTTGTTGCCTTTTTTGAAAATCGACTTAATCTTAGCTGTTTTAAAATATCCAAAAAATCCCTGTGTATAAGGATACATTAAATATATGAGTAAACAGGTGTATAAGCACAAGTCTTTAACAAACAATCCGGAAATTCATCTAAACCGGCCGAAGATTTATTTTTTAGTCTACCCATTATTTTGAGAAGTTCATTGGGAGAGATTTCGAAAACAAACATTGTGTCTGATATTTTGGGGGAACCTGATGTTGAATTTTGAGACTGAAACCCATTGTAAGATCGACAGCAGTTCTCGTTAAATATTGGATAAACTAGCTTCTGTTGCCGGATCGTTCACATTTCTATCGTTATCTTTTAAAACAACATTTTTTACAATGTTTCTAGTTGATTTTGTCGAATTTTTCACTATAGTCCACATTGCTTTTGTTTTTTTATCAGCGTTCGAAATATCCTGATGATATTTCATGATTGTAGCCTGCCTTATACTTTTCTTAACAATGATTTGTATTTTTTAAAGTAGAGGAGGAAATCTTGAGATTCGTTTTGGAGCTTAGAAATGAAAGAAAGAATTCGTTTGTTTTTACATGTGTTTGTTTGTTTATTTATTTATTTGTTAAGTGTTATTAATACTTAATAAAAATGAATTATATGTAAAGAATAATTTGTGACAAACAGGGGCGGATCCAGACGATCATTTTGGAGGGGGCTATCATAGATTTTTGTTAAATAATATGTTAATGATTTTGTTATTATATTGTATATTATTTTTGTAGAGTATACATAATACTATTCAATATATTTTTTTAAAAAAATAATTACATACTTCTAACCGAACATAAATAAATATTTCAATTAATTCTGACAAATAAAAAAATGTAACAAACGAAAACACTGTGCCTTTGGAGTGGGGCCCCCATGTCCCCCTTCCTGGATACGTCACTGGTGATAATCTCGCAAAGGCATCAAACTTTCTCTCTGCTCTACAAGAATTAAATAAATAATTATCATACCTTCATGTAAAGATATATAAATTATGCAATGCGGAAGTTTTAGGTGATAAGGGTATTCGTTGTAGAAGAAGCTGCACTTTCTAATAACTCAGGTACTTCAGAGAACAAGGTCCGGTATTGCTAATTGGAGTAGGCACGCTTTCCGGTTATTTGAACTAGAGGGATGTATGCTCGAACATGGCTGACAACCATCAAGAATTAACTTTTTGTTGGTGGTATTGGTAATCTGATCGGACAGTGATTTTCTTGAACTTTCACAAAGCATGGGAACACAACCGCGAGAAAGTTCACGAGCAGAGAGCATGAGTGCTGGAATTGCAGAGGGGTTGAACGTGACGAACAGTTGCTGAATGCTGACTTGTATTTCGAATAACAACAGTCAGAGTGACTTATCTCGTTGATTTCTTACTGAGAACAGTTTAGTTGCACCATTACAATATTGTAGAAGTGTTGATTTTCAGCTAACAACTTGATGCTTCTTGAATCTCGCAATCTCCTGTGCCCAACAAGTAATGTCATATTCGTGATTTAAGTGACAACTATTGACTAATTTCTGTAAGTTATTTCGGTAAATATATTCAGACAGTGAATGAGTACTGATGCAACTTGGCTGAGCTGTTGCCGTAATTTGTGCGTGAAACATAAAGTGTTTTCTTTTGGCTAATCATCGCAGCGTTTTGGGAAAGTTGTATGTAATGACGAATATGTCAATTGTGCGGTTTGCTTGTGGAAGTTCTCCACGTTTATGCAGGAGTCGTACTTCATTTATGGTTAAAAGTACTTGTCAATATTCGGCAACTGCTGTAGAAGAGAAAGCAAAAGGTAATTGTCTCCACAATATTCATAAAAATATAAGATAACCGTAACCTAAAAGTAAATAATAAAAATTACTAAATAGTTAACACTGAGTTTTTCTGTGTATTGAATAATTCGAATTTTTTTTTTGTTTACAGAACAATCGTCAAAGTATGATCTTGTGGTCATTGGTGGAGGATCAGGAGGATTGGCATGTGCCAAAGAAGCAGCCCATTTGGGTGCAAAAGTAGCAGTTCTAGATTATGTAACTCCTTCTCCTCGAGGATCCAAATGGGGTTTGGGTGGGACATGTGTTAATGTTGGCTGTATTCCCAAAAAGTTAATGCATCACGCTGCTTTGCTGGGTGAGGCTGTTCATGTAAGTACATTCTTTATCTCTGTTCAAAAACCTTGCACTGAAATTCAATTGTGTTAACACTTCATATCCATAAATATTTTTGTTTGAAAAGTTTATAACGTTACAAAAAACAATGGATTAAAATAAGTATTTGATTGCCACTGAGTTTATATTAAGAAACCTTTTACGAAAGGAATGCTGAACTAGTCAAGTGCTTTTTCTTAATACTGTGTTGAAACTGGTTCAACATGGCAAGTTCAGAAATTGACTTGATAAACTATAGCAATTTAAATGTATTGTGCTGAGCTGAGATTTTGAGTTTCAAGAAAAAGTGGAAAAGTTCTGTGATTGTACATGTCAGTCATACTGTTTTTTTTAAATCAGAGAATTCTCATCCAAATTTATAGAATTGTACCCATTTTTTATAATTAATTAAGAAAATTTTCTTACCATGTCCTGAATTCAGAGAATAGTGCAGTTCTATTCATTTTCAATGGTACTGTAATATTTCAGTTCATATATTATATTGTGGTTTCTTTAAAACTAATTAAAAACACTCCTATCTTTTTGACCTTCCCCCATAACAATGTGTTCATATCATTATGATTCCTTCATCTATCATTGTGACATCTTTAACTTTCTTGTGCCACAATGCTTTCATCTATTGTATCGGCCTCCCTTGGTCAACTCTTGTTTCTTCCTGACCTCGACGCTACTAGATTTAGAGGGCTAAGGAGCCTTTCCTTATTTTTTTTCCATATCTCTTTAGAGTGTAGTTGACAGGCCTTACGCAGGTAGCATCTGAGAAGCACTAAAGTATGAATGGTGCATGATCCAACAGGGGAAGGTGGGACTCGCTAACCTTGGGAATTAATTCATCCCTAAAGAGTGGAGCAGGGGCTGGCTGGATTCCTTAAGCTACGGTGGAAGCAATCAGATTAAGGGGTGGAAACCCCTGAAATCAAAGCTCCAGTCCTCCAGGTTTGGGGGTTGTAGGCCAGCACCCAGTACACGTAAAACATCACACCACTAAAAATCTGTCATATGAATGCCTCAGATAATTCAAAAGGGAAACAACATCGGCCAAGAAAATGAACTCTGAATGTTGGTATATGGAATGTACCAAGCATTTCAAACAAACAAGAAGTAATCCAGGAAATGATGAGAAAGAGCATAGGCTTCCACGGCTGGAGTCAGTATTTACTAGGCTGTCCGGGTGACGCCGCGTCCATGGCGAAGGTGCCGACGTTTCGGTCGCCATTCTGCGACCTTCCTCAGGGCTTAATGCAGGCTTTACGTCCTGAGGAAGGTCGCAGAATGGCAACCGAAACGTCGGCACCTAGTAAATACTACCTATAGGCAGCCTAGTAAGTACTCAAATGATTAGAAAAAACCTAGATATAGCTGTCTGGTCTGAAACAAAAAAGAAAGGCAAGGGAAGCGAAACACTGAACAACTTTGTGCACTTTTACAGTGTAAACAAACCTGAAAATGCCAAAGCCGAATTTCTATTGTTATTGGTGAAAGATTCAGTAAATGTATAAAAAGTTGGGAGTATATAAACGAACTACTTATTAAAGTAGTGTTAAAAATCAGAAGAAAATACATGTGTCATAGGAATATGTAATTTGAATGATGATGGCTATGAATGGCTAAGAAAGATGATTTTGAAATGACGGTCAAAGAAACCCTTGACGGTATTCCAAAGTCCCATGAAATAATATTTGCAGGAGATTTTAATGGCAGAGTTGGAAGAGACAAGAACAACAGTATTGTCAATATGGTGAGGAAACTCGCAAGGACAATGGAAAAAGACTTATTAATATTTGTGAAGAGTATGAAATGAAAATTTTTAACACTTTCTTCCAACACAAAAATATTCATAAGTACATCTGGTACCAACATATAAAAAAACTCTAATCTATAATAGACCTCTGTGTAACGAAACAAAAAACTTCACTCAAAGTACAGTGAGTGACTAATGTAGTGATCATTGTTTGGTAATTGCTAAAATATTCATACCATTTACATCAAATAGCACAGATAAAGAAGATAAAGAGGGAATTGTCATGAAGCCTACCAAATACAAATTAAGCAGTCTTTTTGATTATAAAACTGCATATCTCTACAGAAAAAGACTTGAAACTAAACTCTTGGTTAAACACAGGCCAATAGAAAAAGAATATGAACCCATAAAAAATGTATTCACCAAACCGCAGAGGAGGCTTTTAGTACTTATAAATTAAAACCGAAACAGTACTGGTAAAACACAAGTCTAGAAGAAAGATTAAGAGGAAACGAGAGCTGTATTTAAAATGGCTTAGTGACAAAAAAACTGGAACTAATTTACAAAGTTCATAGTGCAGTACAAAGCAATAAGTAGAGAAGTAAAACAAGAAGTGTTATCAAGGGAGAATAAATTGTGGCTGGATAAGTGCAATCATATAGAACAATTCATAGGTGGAACACGGAGCTCAGAAGCCTGGAAAGTAATTAAATTTATTAAATCAAATGAAAAAAAACTATCACATTAGAATCAATAAAGGGGAAGAGTATTTCAGAAGACTGCTGCTAGAAAACAAACTTCCAGTCACACAAGAAAGTGAAATTTGAGCATAGGGTAGATCTGACAACTAAAGATTTAGATAAAGCACTTACGACCATGAATTTCCGAAAGTCACTTTGGTCTGGGAGATATACCAGCAGAATTACCGAAAATAGGGAGACTGTATAGCAAAATAATATCAAATAAAATAGAAGAAGAGATAAAAGGAAAAATAGGAGAGGAACAATGTGGTTTTACTGCCGGTGGATCAGTCATAGACTGCCGGATATACTGCCAGTAGATCAGTCATAGACTGCCGGATATACTGCCAGTAGATCAGTATATCAGTCGGTAGCCGGTAGATCAGTCATAGACAATATATTTACATTAAAACAACTTATAGAAAAGAGAACAAGGAGAGGTAGAGAAGTTAATCTGTGTTCCATTGATCATCAGATGGCATATGACAATGAACTGGTTGCTAGAGTATGGGAAGAAATGGATGGACTTAAAATGAGTGAAAACTTAATTGGAGCCACACAGAATCTATATAAGAACAACACCTCTCAGATTAAGATCTACAGCAGGCTCTCGGATCCATTCCCAGTCAGTAAAGGTCTTCGTCAGGGTTGCTGTCTTTCCCCAACACTGTTTAAAATATATCTGCATCAAATTTTACAGCAGTGGGAGAAACAATGCAGAGTAATGGGAATGACGATAGGAGAAAATAAATTATATATATTATATTTTGCCAATAACCAGGTAGTAATTGCAGAAGATGCAGACAATTTGAGTTTCATGATCCATAAACTCAATGAACACTTTTTAAAAGCAGGGCTTAATATTAACAGGGACAAATCTGAACACCTGGTAATGGGTAACAATGAAATAAAAGATCTTCTGGAAAATGGAGGAAAAATGAGAGGAGTAAACAAATATAAATACTTTGGTGTACTTTCAACAATAAGCAAAATAGCCAAGAAGAAATTGAGAGATGCATAAGCTTAGGGAGAAACGTGACACGAAGTATAAACTCTGTCTTATGGAACAAAACCATCACTAAAACTACAAAAAGATGTCTTTACTCCTCACTAGTTAAGAATGTTACAACATACGTTTCTGAAAGAACAAAAGGGAAGCTGCTGGCCCTTGAAATGGACTTCTGGCATAGAAGTTGCTGTTACAGCAGACGTGACCATTTCAGGAACGACGACATAAGAAGGAAAATGGATGTAAAGAAATCTATCCTGGACGAAATAGAGAAAAAACAAATTGTCTGGTACGATAATGTTATGCGAATGACAGATGAAAGATGGCCAAAACGAGTTCTGCAATGGGTGCCGACAGAAAGTCTGAAGAGAGGTAGACCCAGACTTGCCTGGCAGCAGGGATTGCAAAAGGCTATGACAGCAAAGAGAAATGCAAGAATGGTCAAATAGAAAGGCATGGAGACTGAGAGTGGAGTACGGTGACAGCTGTAGAGTAACTCCGCTTCAATTCTACGTTATGCTTTACGAAATATATGCAAGAGAGGAAGTTACATAATTTCTTCAGATTAACAATTTTTGTATTTCATGATTTACTTTACAATCCACAAATTTTGAGGTATCTTGTTCTAGTGCGTTTTACTACACTAGTTATTTATTTTAATTAATAATTCTGTGATTAATGTTCATGGAAGTGAGATTCAATTTTACTTCCTGAAATGTACTTTATAGATCAGTTGACTTGTGTTGTCAAAGTTTTTTATTAATTCCCCCCATTTTATTTTATTTTATTTTTTCATTTCTTAACTTTTCTGAGTTGAATTGAATAAGAAGTTGGGGTTGTTCTGTAAATGAATAATTTATGTTGGAATATTTATATATTCAATTTGACATAACTACCCCAATGTTTGTGTACTGAAGTACTAATCTTAGTGTTTTAGGCCTGCAACAGATTACAGCGAGGAATGTGTGATGAGAAATGTGGAGGAATCGAAACAAAAAATGCTTATGGGCCCCTGTACACTTGAAAGAGTTTTCTTGTTCGCCAGATTTCACAGGGGTGAAAGAGTTCCTCGTTTGAGTCAGTCAGCAAGCGAGTTTTCTCGGACACGTTTCTTCTTTTTCATTTGGTATTCATTTAGGCATTCGCTGCCACAGGAAAACACTAAACAGTGTGTAGAAACAAGTGAGGTTATGTTTACCAGAAGAAGATGTGATAAACAACCAGTTTTTTGAATATCTTACCTGATTTTTTCGTGAAACGGAAATAAACTGGGAAAAACTTGTGTGGAAAATATTATTTATTGTAAGAAAGCAGTATATAATGAGCAATTTACAAAATTAAGATTTAAAGCAAGAATTTGAAAGGGTATTTTGAAAGAATTGAATTAAAAAATGTTCTTAATTCACATTTATTTATAAATTAATTTATTTAAATTTTATTATGGTTTATTTGATCATTCACCATTTATTCATAATTCAAACAACAAATATAGTAAAACAGGCGGGGTAGAAATATCAGAGCTCAAGAAAATTTACAGAGACATAATGAACTTCTTCCCTATACTTGACAGGGTTCCTCCTCCTTTTTTTGAACTCAAATAGACGATTTATGATTATGGACATAAAACAAGGCTTTCACAGGTAAAAATTACACAAGAGCGTTTAATAAAACAAGAAATGGAACTCGCAGCTGATCTCATAGCTAACTTCTGTCACCACTCTCGGCATATCGCACATAAAAGCATTTTGAGTCATCGAATGACACATTTATTGTGTGTGGATGCAGACTCACCAGCCAGTTTCCTCATGTCAAATCACACATTTCTCGCAACACATCTCTCTGTGTAGTGTGTTGCCAATCTTACTTGGAATTGCAATTATGCAATAGATTATGCTTAAGGTCACCTGTAGCTTAGCCAGAATTGGTCGAGGGGAAAAGAGAAGAGAGTTATTTATCAATACTCCTTAGAAGTAACTGGGGAATTGTGTCTAATTTTTAGTTCTTCTCCGTATGGAGTAGAGAGAAAGCAATGTAATGCTGTGCAAAAAAAAAAAAACGTGAATTTTCAGCAGAAAAACTCTCTATTTCAGGGCTCTGCTAAAGAGTAAGTTAAATCATATTGCTAAATTTAGAAAAAAAATCTCTATCATGTGGTGTAGCCAGAATCCTTTTGTGGGTCCTTGATACTGAAAAATCGAATGACGACAAATCGTCCATCCGATTTTCTCCAAAATTGATATTCCACAATCGATCCGGCTGATGATGCGGCACGTGAATTTGAAACTGATCATTCATTTTTTGGGAGTACTTTACACAAAGCCCATTGAGACATTTTCCAAATTTTCAAAACAATGGCTCCATTGTTTTTAATTAAATTTTATTGTTTGATTGTGTGATGGACGTTGAAATAATGGTGCAGGTCTCGTGATCATTGAAAACTGTGATTTTCAAAAATTGCAATAGTTCAAAATTTGTTTGGTGTCTTCTTACAACTAAAATATTAAAAATGGATGTTTTTCCCCCTAATGACATCTGTTCCTTACCCCACTTTTGCCTGAATTAATTCTTTTACATCATTATATTTTTAGCAAATAAATGAAACATAGTTATGATCTATATGACAATTATTGTTTTCAAAATATGGACTGTTCCAGCAGGCACAAACTGGTCCAGAGTTTTTTAACACATAAGGCCACATTATATTTTTTTCTTTTTTTAAACTTAACAATTGCTACAATTTCATAATTTTCTATGTCAAAATAAAAGCTAAATTAGAGTTGAGAATAAAACAATTTTCATATAAATTTGTGTTACATTTTTCACACTGATTGGTTGTATTCTATTTATACATTCATCCTTGCTTTGTGGCGGCTGAAATCCAGTGTCCTGTGCTATCAAATCTCACAGAAGTTATTATGTGAGATATCAGTAATTTGCTAGTTTTAGGTATTTCCACCTGATGACGTTAAACTTTTATACTTTCAAGTTAATTGTGAACAATTCATATTCTGAAAGAAAGGTGGTCCATTTTTTGACCATGCTCTTTCAAAAAATAGTTCAAACAACACTGGATCATTTGGGATTATACTTGTGTCACTTATAATATTGAAATTTGTTAATGCAGGATTTTTCTCAATTTTTTTCCATTTTATTTGTTCTTTCTTATGTGGGGAAACAGACTCGTGTAGAGATAGTATGCTCTTAATGCACTCATCATGGTGTCCAGAGCCAATATTACCCTCTAGTTCAGTTACAGATGTCTTTCGGTCTTCGTGAAATACATGAGTTACATAGTTCCTCACATTCTGATCTAAGTTGGGCTCCAAGTACATTTTCAGTGTCGCAATTATTGTTGTTAATACTCTGAGAGAATAAAAGATATATTAGATGAATTTTGAAAAATAATTCATGGTACCATTCGTGCCTGGGGTTCCAATTTTGGGACCAGCTCAGGTAAATAGTAATACTTCCAAGATTTGTTAATTTACTGATAAAAACATCATGTCACAAACTAATCTCAAAGGAACAAAAAGTTTACTGTAAGTATGTAACTCAATTTTTTTTAACCTTTTATCGTTCATGGTGTCAACAGTGAAATGTTGCTTCAATAAACCCTCTCCTCTCTGTGTACCAATGAGAACTACAATCACTACAATCAGGAAATTCAATCCCTCAATTGATGTACTAGGGATAAGGCAGGGCCCCAAATGTGTTTTGCTATAAGGTGGAGTCAAAGACAAATCCACTGTTGCATGATCCAATATTGGAACACGGCAAATATTAGTTTGAAATAAAGTAATGTATAATTTTTCGAAAATTTGAGTACTTTTTGTGTAATTTTTCATGAAAGTATGGGGGAGTAAGTGTATGCCGTTTTAGAACACTAGTTTTGTTTGATGTTTTGTGTTATTGAAAATATTATTTTTTAATCTTAGTTCATATAAAATACTGATTTTTTGTAATTGAAATGGTCAAACAGAAAAACCATAGGTATGTGCAGCCTAAAACAAGAGAGAGGCCAACAATATTACTGGACCAACCTTTAATTTTATTTATTTATTTATTTAGAAAAAAGGGGGTCAAAGAGTTAATGACTTCAGCACAACACTGTTGACTTTTACAACTATGTAAAATACTGACATTTTTTAAATTTTGTAACTCAACAGTAAGGCATTAATGACATTAATGATTACTCAAACATACATAGTACCTGCAAACTGATAGACTCATGCATCAATCCTTTAATCTCTGTACATTTAGTGTATCTTTATGTAACCTATGTAATTATTAATCTGGGATTTAACATATTTATAGAAATAAAATATTTGATTATGAAAACCTGTGGTCCATGTCAAAATTTTCCAGAAAAACATGTCTCTCCTGACCCCTATCTGAGCATGTCTGTACGTCTGTGTGATATACATTCAGTCCTCCCAAGTGTATAAATGGTGCATCCAAGAATTAACCTTCCCCACTCCCCTTAATTTTAAGATTTCAAACTCTTATAATCAACACCCGTAACACATTTTTTGTTTTTATTTTATTGTTCTGATTAGATAATAAAGTAACAAATGTGAAACTTAGCAAAGTTGCAAAACAGGCTTGCATTGTACTCTTTTGTATTTTGTGTTGTCTTTATATTTGTTTGTGCACATTTGTTTTGATGATATTGGAGTTGTCAATAGTACTAAATATGAAGTTTGTATTTTATTATTAATTTTCTTTATTTTGTTCTGGTGTTGCTTTCCGTGTGTGTGTGTGTGTAATTTGTTGTGATTAAATTTGAGTTTTTTGTGAATATTTCAATATACAAAATTGTAAGTCAGGTTATTTTATTTGAAATAAATAAAAGAATCATTACATTGCATTTATATTATTTTATTGTAAAAAGGACTTTATTCCATGTGTAAATAAATAAATAAATTAAAATACTTTAATTGTTGTTTTTACATGGGTGTTTGTTTTGGAGGTATGGAGTCTGAAGAAAATTTAGCCAGCCTTGCAACCCAAATTTAGCAGTTCAGAATAATATTTCTTTTAACTCTATGTATTCAAGGTCACTTTTTAACAACAAAGGAGAATTATTTGGACTTGGAGATTTTTTTAAATTTATTGTACTGTGTATAAGATCAGTTGTTTTGTTTTCTATAATTTATTTCTTATTTATTTATTTATTTATTTATTTATTTATTCATTATTCCATTTTCGTAAAAATGTTCTAATAGAAATCTGATTTCTACCAACACCCAACTTTCAATATTCCAAAGGAAAGGAGGCAATAATATTTGGTGTTGATATTCACTAGCTATAAGTATTCACAACCATTTTTTAATTCATGAAGGATTAGGGATATGAAATGTAATGGATTCTAGGGAGGACTAAAATAGTGTTTCCACTTTGTAACTAGCATATAATATGACTGTTGTGTAAGAGGTGTCTATATGAATGAAACAATGTAAACTAGATAAAATTGTAGCGATAGAAATCAATTGCTAGGTGGAACTCAAAATGTACTAATGGAATAGGGATGTAATTAAGAACGTTAAATCATTACTAGATGTTTTGCCAAGAAATTCCTAGAATACTGAAGATGGAATTTTCTGTTTCAAGGATGCAAGAGCATATGGTTGGGTGCTCCCAGAAAAGGCCAAAGTAGTGCATAATTGGGAGGTATTGAGAAATGCTGTTCAAGATCACATTAAGTCTGTGAATTGGGTTACAAGGGTTGAATTGCGGAACAAGTAAGCAATGTAATATTTCAATATGTATTTATAGAAATTTTATTGATGTGGCTTCTATTAGCTTGTAATAATTTAAATTTTCATTTAAATTTTATTTATATGTTCATCTCATCCCCTTATGAAATAGTTGGATAGAAAATGTTCACACTTCATCAATCATTTAATCAAAAATTTTATCTGTCGTAATAATGATAATAATAAAAGTAAGTGGTATATTTAACTATAGCTCAAAAATGTGCCAAAAATCTTAGTACATCTAATTTCTACAGCAAAGAGAATGTAGAGCCTTCTGTGCCAAATGCTAGTGCTTTTCATGACTCTGAAAATCATCTAATCAGAAGAAAGAATAAAAGGTCTGTTTTCCTTAGTACTGTCCATGGGGTGTGTGACGTATGTATGAATAGTTCTGACAAATATTTGCATGAAAAATAAATATTTATTCTACTTGTTAAATTAGTTGAGTTTACTAGCCTCACCCAATGAAGTTAATATTAATTTCTAAATGCATTTGAAGACTAGAAATGCCTTGTGATTTCTGTGAATTTAATTATTGTAGAAATGCAATGATGTACTCCTGAAAGCTTATTCAAAACCCTTTATTAAGAGCATCGCATAAAATTTGCATATCCCTCACTTCTGAATAAGCAGGATATTTTTATTGGTACTTTTAGAAGTTTCAGGCAAAAAATCTTAAGAGCATTGAGAATATTATTACTTACAACTACACCTGAATCATGATGCAAACTAATGAAAATGTACAAATAGAAAGATGGTACTTAGGCTTTTGGTGTCACCTGTTAGTTTTTTTAATAAATGTGGCATTTGAGAATAGTAAAGAATCCATAATATTTAAGTAAGAAAATAATTGAATTCTTTGTCGGTTCTCTTCGGCTATATTAAATGAAGTAGTTTGCTCTTCATTCCTTTTGTTATTTTCCACCTCCTAAAATTGTAAGTTCTTGTTTTTGCTGTAGTGAAACCCTGCATTACTTCTTCCCAGTATTCTTTCTTCCATGGTTGAAAGTACTACTATGTAATTTACTGTATGTAGATTTGGGCATTTCTTTCCTTCATTTACATTTCCACTAATACTAATTTTGAAATAGTTTAGAACGCTAACTTAAATCTGCAATTTATGTTTGTACCTCACAGCCAAATAATTTTTCAATTTTTCTGATATATTTCACAAGAATGAAAATTTGGTGCTTTTTTATGAAGTAATCAAATTATATTTAAGGAAATATTTGTTCTGACTAATTTTACCTGTTCCAATTTATCAGTTACTCAGTATAATGGGAAGTTGGCACGCCATAGCAGACAGCACTATTGACCTTCAGCGCATGTGCAGTTCAAGTTTCACATTGCTGTCACAGTGAGGTCCATTATGGCCTGCAAAAACTCCTTAATAATCTTAAATTGGTTCAGTGTCTTCTATCAACCAAGTTTCTGAGTTTTGTTTCTTAGTCCAGGAGAATTGCTGAAAAAATGGACGTTAATGGCTGTGTGGTACCCAAAGAATTAATTCTGTGATCAAAATATTTTTGCAGGACAATTGATTACATCAATGGTCGTGGATACTTTCATTCCTCTCATGTTGTTAATGCAGTTTTAAACAATGGTAAAGAACGTTCATTAAATGCTGAGAAGGTACTAATTGCTGTTGGAGGTCGACCAAGATATCCTGACATTCCTGGTGCTTTGGAACATTGTATTACAAGTGATGATATATTCAGCTTGGCAAGACCTCCAGGCAGAACTTTGATTGTAGGAGCTGGATGTATCCTTTTCGAAATATTCTTGTGTGTGCATGATGTTGTTTTATATGCTTAAACATAAAATGAAAGAAAAAAATATACAAACCAAATTTAGCTGACAATATCTTGAAGTAATCTTGAATCACTGAACTTCTTTACGTTCTTGTCCCAGCTGAGTTAGGTCAAAGACAGCTTGCTGCTGTCTCAAACCAGGCTTATGGGGTTTGAGTCCCAACGGTATTTTCGACACGATTTAGGTATAATTCAATTACTATCTGGGGCCGAGTTCCTGCAGTTAGCTGCTCTGATCTGGAGTTTTCACGCTGTATTGATACATACTGGAGACTAGGCACAACACTACCAACTTGAGTACTTCCAACCTTTACTCGCATACAGAACATACACAATATCTTAACATTATTAGAAAAAAAACTCATGTTGAAAATTTTGGAAGAAATCAATGAATAGTGTTTTTGAATTAATTTTCATTGTTTCTAATTAACAACCAAATCAAAAAGTGTTGGAAAATACTTTTGTGGTATACTAGTATTAACTTCTTATCACAATTAAAGTATTTGTTTTTTTGTTTGTATTAAAACTTGTTTTAAAATTGTATTTCTTCTTAAGACTTTGAAGATATTGGATTGGAATGTGCTGGATTTTTGAATGGGCTAGGATATGATGCTACAGTTATGGTCCGGTCTGTCCCTCTGCGAGGATTTGATCAGCAAATAGCTCAATTATTATGTGGTGAAATGGAAGAAAGAGGAGTTAAATTTTTACACAAATGTATTCCAACAAGGGTAGAAAAATTAGAAAATGGACAGTTGAAAGTAACTTGGTCAAATGTGAAAGATTCATCCTTGCAGTCAGATGTGTTTGATACTGTCCTTTTTGCTGTTGGTCGGCGTGCCCTGACTAAAGAATTGGCTGTGACCACTGCAGGTGTTCACACGGAAAAGGAATCAGGAAAAATACGTACTGATAATGAACAAACCAACATTCCTCATATATTTGCAGTTGGTGATGTATTACACGTAAGTATTATGATTAATCTGAATTAAAATTTTTTTAAAACTATTTGTAGAAAAACTAAAAGCTATGTAGAAGAAATGGAGATGAATTTATGTACATGGTAATTCATTTCACCCCAATTTGTTTTTCCACAAAGTTTAAGTGCAATTATTTCTATACATTTTTGATTATGAAATACTGTATAAATGATAGAAATCACAGATATCAACAAAATAATGTTTGTCTTATAAGTATCTGTAATGTAATTTCCTGCATGGTTGTATCATAAAGTATGAGCAACTCAAGCAAGATAGAATCTAGCAGTTTTGCTACCAGAAAATATTATTTTGAATCGAATCTCTCCATTACCAATAAAAAGTCGCTGTAAAATGCGGTGATATTTGAAAAACATCTGGCGGTCATTGCAGTGTGCAATTCAGTTTTGTAGTTTCAATGAGTTTGGGATTAGATAGATGGAAATTGAAAATGCAAAATACAGCAATACTGAGTAGGCTTTCTTAAATTGATTATGTGTGGTAGCTGACTACAAAATATACCATTATCTTTCCTAATTCTTTGCAGTTTCTTTCAATATTTTAGATTGCTTTGCGACACTTTTAAATCGCCTACAATTAGCGCACAGTTTATCTTTGGTAAAACATTTTCCAAAAATAAACTATAGGAGATCTGAGATATAGACAAAAATTTGAAGATGTAGATATACCACATAAAAATAAATATAGAATCATATAATTAAAAACCAAAAGATTGTTGATTCTTCATAAAATGCAGAAACTGTTGGGAACACAGTTGGCATAATTCTTAATAGACACTCTGGGTTTTGAAAACAGAGTTTTTGAGAGTGCCTTATTGACTGCAACAAAAGTCAGAGAAACTTAATTGGATTCCTTCATGAGACGCGACATTTGCAAGTAGCCAAAAATTTCACTGTGTTGCCAAATCAACGCTTTTGCATAACCATTCTGCATTGACCTGGAGAACCATAGATGAGTTTTAATACCTACTACTGACATTAAGGGGAATTTCAAAATTCAAAAACAACTGTTCTGCTATTTATTATAATGAATGATTGATGTGGAAATTTGATTTCACCACGTTCGTTTTTATGGACTCTACTGTTTTTCTTTTTTGTGTTTGCGTGCATGTGGGTGTGTTTGCGCATGCGAGGGGCTGTACACACACACACACACAAAACAAAAACTAGATTTTCTCAAAAAACAGCACCAAATTTTTGCTTTAAATTTGGTAGAGATGATGCTACTCTGAGGTGGCATAAATGCCATGCTTATTCTTTTTTTTCTTTCAACAATTACAAAAAAGTAATTTTTTTGACTTTCACATCGTTTATATTTACATTAGCAGCAATTTCGTCACATTATTATATTTATGAGTTCATTTGCTTCAAATAATGTCACATAAAGTTTCTCGAAAACTCAACAGTTTTCTTTCAATATTCCGCATTTTCAGAAATGCTCAAACCCCATTTTCTCATAAATGGCTCAAAATTTGGTCTTCAAACTTTTTGAACTGATAGTGCTAATTGCACTATTTAATATAACGATAAAGTTATTTTTAGGATATTTTTTGTCTTTTCAATAATTACACAAATGTAATTTTTTTGAAAGATCTCTCACACCATTAATATGGACATTTCCAGCAATATGTAAACACAATTGTATTTGTGAGTTAATGTACTTCGAATGACTTCTAATTAATGTTTTCAAATATACAGTAGCACTTAAACACAATTTTCTTAAAAAAGGTTCCAAATGTTTCAAAGGAAATTGCCATTTAGGAGGAGATTTTACTGCTCTTTAATGTTCTTAAAATAATATTTCTGTTCTACTATTAGGAAACCGAAAAATTAAGAAAATATCAAAAAATGTACTTTGTGCAGAGATAGCAGCTGGCAAGAGTATGTGGCAAGTACGAATAGCTAGCTGAGACCAAAGGAAATGAAAAACTTAATATGGGAAAGTCTGTGCCATTCTAAGCACCATTAGCTATTGTTTTCCAATTTTAGTCTTCTTACACTACCGTTTATAAAATTAATTAACATTGTTTTATATTGTATTTAGTATGAAAACTGAATTTTAACATCTTATTGCATTTAATTTTTAGAAATACCTTAATTGTACATTGTTTGATTATATACATATCCTGACATGACATACAGCACTTATGCTGTATTTATGTAGCATTAGCGTATTTACCCGAATATAACAAGAGGTTGTTGTTTTTTTCTTCCTTCGAAATATCTCAGTCGATAAACGGGATGTCGTCTTATAGCGTAGTCGGTTAGGACTTAACGTTTTTACATTGGCATCCCATGTCACGAGACTCGTAAATGTTGACGTAACAATAAACTGCGAAGACGGTAAAAAAAATATGGCGCGTAACAATACGTAAATATATTTACGGCATCCACCGCAAATTGTCGGGCAATTCAGACCGATATATTTGAATGGGCCGTTACGGGTAATCTCTAACCGAATGGCATTGTATCAGATGAAAATGAATGCAGAGTGTTGCACGATGCGGGTTCGACGAAGCTGCGCGGAATCTCGGCTTGACGGTCGGCGAATACGAATCTGAGTTTTGAACAGAAAAAGCGGCCATTAACAAGTGCGGGAAGTATAGAAAATCTGACGACAAAAGGGAATGTTCTTAGATGGCATCTAATGAAAGACTATGATCAACCCAAAATTTAATTCGCAAAACTTTCAAGAGGGATCTAAAAAGTCAGAAAATGCCCCAGAATGGAAGGAGGACCAAACGAAAGAAACATTGATACATGTGAAGAAAATGAGGGTAGTGACAAAACCGATGTTTTTTATATCAAGGAACAAGAAAATAGTTCAGCTAAAAGTATTTAACATCATCAAGGCAATTTTGTAGTAAATTAAACATTTTGTAATTTTACTTTAACTAAATAGTCAGAATTAATTAAAAATTTAAAATATACCCCAGAGGCCTCATCAAAATTCGGGGGTTGACTTAGATTCGAGATCAACTTATATTCGGGTAAATATGGTATTATTATTATTGTTGTTGTTATTATTATATCATCAGTATACACTCTATTTTGAATATGTTTTCTCTGCATAGGAGAAACCAGAGTTGACTCCTGTTGCAATTCAAGCTGGCAAATTATTAGCACATCGTTTGTTCAATGGAGGTTCTGAAGTAATGGATTATCACAATGTTGCTACTACAGTATTTACGCCTTTAGAGTATGGAACTGTAGGATTCAGTGAAGAGAGGGCTGTTGAATTATTTGGAGAAGATAAGCTGGAAGTATATCATGCTTTCTACAAACCCACAGAGTTTTCAGTTCCTCAAAGAAATGCATCCCGCTGCTACATAAAAGTTATCTGTGAAAGGGAAAAGCCTCATAAAGTATTAGGAATGCACTTTGTTGGACCACAAGCTGGTGAAGTTATACAAGGATTTGCAGCTGCCATGAAGTGAGCATATTTAATTACAATGATATGATAGAAATCACTTAACTGAAAAACAATATTTGTTTGTTTGTTTTAGAATATGAAGCATTCATTTACATTTTTAGTAAATTATGTCTAGATTGAGCATTAATTTGAAAAACTATTAGTAATTGTTTATTTACTATTATTGATGATAGATTTTAAATTAATTAAATGCGAGTTTATGCAATCAATTTTCTTGCTTTTGCAACTTCTTGTATTCTGTGATGTTACATATGAATTGTACATATTTTGGTAACACATACTGCTTTTAGATAATGTCATATTCATATCATTACTTATGAAGGAATGAAACAATAAGTACAGCTATCCACCCTTACAAACTTTCTCAGTCCAGTTAATGGAAGAGACTTTCATTCTTTCAGATGTGGATTGACCATGGATCTTTTGAAGACCACAGTTGGCATCCACCCAACAACTGCAGAGGAATTTACTAGAGTATTTGTGACAAAACGGTCAGGCCTTGATCCTACTCCTCAGAGCTGTTGTAGTTAAATTCTTCACATGAAGTGAGGTAACATGCAATTCAAATTACTTCACTTGCAGGAAATGTGTAGTGTATGTAGATAGTTTTTTCTAATTAGTGCATGATGGTTATCTAATTGTTATTTTCATTAGCAAAGTATATCTCTGGCAGTTCCCCACAGAGAAAATTATAAGGTTAATGAAGGAAAACAAAGGTAGTTTAAGCTGTGGTGGAGAATAGAGGTTAGAAAAAAGTTTTGTTCTTGATATTAATGTGTTTGTTTATTGCATTTGAACAGTCCCAGCATTGAACACAGAATGTATGAATTTCTCTATATTATATTCAATAAGTTATTTCAGTATAAAATCCCGTTGGTGGAAGTCCTGGTAAGAAATGCTATTGCTCTCTTTCCAAAGACTTTTCTTATAATTTGACTTTGAAACAATGTTTTGTTTAATCTTGTGTTTCAGAGAAGAAAGTAAATTAGCATTGAACTTCTAGGATAGAAGTCAAATATCAATGCCATTGTAGAAGTGAAGATTTGTTTCATTCACATCATCCTCTTTGTTAATCTGAGAAGAACTTGGGCTTTATGAGCATGATTAAAAGTGGTACATGTGCTTCATTTTTCTGAGCTCAATAAAGCTACTATTCAGTTGAATTTGTAAAATTATTTTTATATAGACTATTAAATATTGTTATGATATATAACGTGTGTTTTAAATGTATATGTATATATATTGAAAGTAATAGCTGTTAATATTTGTTTACTATGAGTAAAAGCTAAAAATTGCCAGCAAAGTACCAAGCTGTACAAACATTGTGTGATAAGCTTGAAGCAATGACAGTAATGCACAAATCAATGTAGGTCAAGCAGACTTTCTGATTACAAAACTGTCAATGGTCTGTACTCAATCCATTTCAGTTTATTTTCTGGAATTATATTTAATAATAATACCTTTAATTATCTTGAATATGTTAATGATCTTCCATATACATGTAAAGTAATCACAGCTTATACTTTTTATATCTGTAGTTAATGACTGTGGTATCTGTCATAAATTTGTTCTACACTACAGTTCTGAATAATGTCATTGATTCTAACTCCTCACCAAGTGTGAGTATTGCAATAAAGAGGAATAGAATTTACAATTGGTGAATGCATATTTTTGTAACAAGTCATTGTCACTTGAAGTGTTTGTGTTCGTGTTTGGTTTATTTATGTACATTGTACCTCTGTACTCGAACATTTTTGAATTTCATGTAAGAAAATAACTAAAAACAAAAAGACTTGTAAAGAAATTTTGTTTTCTATTTAGCTTTGTAAGAAATGGGGTGAGATCAGTGAGAATATCAGTGGTATTCGCATGACTATAAAATATTTATGTAAACATTGTATATTTACTATGTACAAAAATAACTTTGAAAACTACAAGCATGTAAATATTTTTGGAAAAAACAAAGTAGTATTTCAATGATCACAAATGGCATTTTCTTTTTGTTTTGTTATCCAACTTCATCAGATTCACTGATATTGGTGAACCAGTTATCATCCTCCTAAAAGAATTGTAGTTGTATCTAGTTGAACCATAAACATGCTTTTTAACTTTTAGGAGACTTCTCATTCAAGAACAATTGAACCAATACTGAGATGCTAGGAGAGGATATCCACGATCAGTTTTAATCAAGTAATTATTGAACCTCCAGAAGATATTATTTTTGAAAAAATATGTCAATCCTGAAATGCAAGATAAATAGATAAAATTATTTAATGAAAGTAATATAAAAATTAATTTTACAGATTTATACTAGTACCATCTGTCCATGTAAAAGCTGCATCTAAATCTTCAGGTACACCTCTCCATCTGGAAACATTATGTGGGTAACCAGGATCCATTTTCTGGGTAGTTTCATTGTACCTCCAGTACTGGTGCCCACTGCCAACAGAAAAAAATCAAAATTTAATGTTCAAACATACATTTCATTTAATGTTACATTTGTAGGCACTGCTTTACCTGAAAATAAATGTTTTCCCGTTTTTCCCCCAGACAAATGCAGCATCAACTTTCTTTAGGGTGCTGGGAAGTCCATAGGATGTAATTGGTCGAGGACTATTTTCTATGAATTTGTCACCATCATGAACCCAATATTGATTTCCTGTAAGATATAAAAAAAAAGTTGAACAATGTAAATTATCTGAAAATTAGCTGTGATCCAATCAGCTTATCTGTTTTTAAGACAAAGGCACTGTATTAACTACAAAAGTCATTGGCTAAATATCCTAAATTAGCTTTTAAGTTAGATGGATAAGTAACGGTTGAAATAACAATTTAAGATCGTGCGTTTTACGGGTCTTCAAACAACAAAACAATGTTTTCTTCATAAACATAAAACATAAAAAAATAAAGAGTTTTGTAACATTTCAAAAATGAACAAATGTACTTTTATAAGATGAAATTACCACATTTTTTAAGAGTATTTACTCCAATTATTGGCTTAACATTGAAGTTGACTGCAATAATAGTATTGACATACAATTTATCTTAATTTTCTGACTACAGTATTTTGAAAAATGTCTTGCTTTCCATGCGACTACCTCTACAACTACAGTACTCTCTCTTCATTTGAATGTGTTGAATCATTACTGAATACTCTTTGAAAAGGATATTTTAGCAATTAAACATTATTTCCATGCTTTTTTAAGGGAATGAATCATTAACATCAGTATATAATTTATTGTTATCTGTATTTGCATGTATCTAATAAAATAGAATATTTATTTAATCCAATTGGCCATTACATGACACGGGACAAGTCATTTTAGTACAATAAAAAATTTTGTATTTAATAGATGTAGTAATAAAAACATACAATAGAGATGTACTTGACAAAACAGTATGTAAACATACAGTGGTGCAACTTTGAACATGCCCAGCTTATTGAATATGCTCTGAATATTGCTAGTTCTTTTAAATACATGAATATTTAACCTGATTCTTTCTTTGCGTGTGGGTGTATGTAACTGTCAACAAGTTACTTATTAATGGTATAATTTAATGCTTTTGTTTGGTTTTGAAACTTACCCAGGCTCCTTTGCAGCTCTTTATCATTTAATTGTACAATGCATACAAAGGAAATAATATTTCTTTATAATTTCAATGGTTTCATCTTGATAACATTTTTGTGTGCAATAAAACATGACGTTTGCTATGTTTCTCAGGATTGAATGAAATAATGCCAAACTGTCAAATATAATCCGGGGAACGGGCAAATATCAAAATAAATGTGGAATTTTAAATGATAATAAATTAAAGTAAAAAATATATTTGTTGTGGTTTAGTTTGCTTACAATGAAAACTGCAAAAAGAAATATTAAAAAGAAGTTTTGGGAGAGAGGTGTAGGGCCTATAAATACAAAGTACACCAAATGTACAAAGTTAATTGTTTAAGGAATCATTAAGGAAAAAATTAGTTTCTCCAAATTCCAGAAGTTCCTCAGAAGAAAATTAAAGTTATTTAGTAGGGGAATTTGGGGGTCTGTAAGGTCTTTAATGAGTAGTAGATATATTTGAACTTTCTCTGAGGATGTGTTATAAGTTGTTTTTAATTTTTAGGTAATTTTATTATTAAATTCACTATCATAATTTTTTTTTGTTAATAAAGACTAATATCAGGCTATTTTAAAAGATTTATGAATGTCTAATATAAAATATCATTCACATAAATAAACACATACAAATTACCTGTAAATAATACAATGCTTTGGTCAGTTTCTCTTTGGTAGACAGCATCTATAGCAGTCACAAATTCAGGTAAAGACCAAAACAACTGGTGAATTGGTACAGGATATCCTGGTATTACTTCATTTCTCTCAGGCATTCTCCACACATACTTCGAAAGAAAATTCTTAATTGAAATAAAGCAAATGAATGTATGTGTAGTCAGTAAACTAAATGTTACTCACCTTATCCTTGAATACAAATAATTCATTGCGAAGTACAGAAATTGCATTAGGTGTTCCCTCACAAAGATTAGGGATTTTGTTCTTTGTTTTTGGATGGTGAGTTGTTGAATCATGTTGTAAATGCTCATCAACACTTTCATCATCTCCCATATATGTCACATTGTATTCTGGTTGCAGTGTTGTTGGAATAGGGACCACAGATGTAGAACTTTCTGTAGTATCAGATTCATCAGAAGTTTTATGTGTTGTGTCACTATGATCAGGTTTTGGAGTAGTTCTTTTCTCATGTTCATCTCCATTACTTTCAGTATAATCATCAAATTCCTCATCTACATCATTGGTATTTGTATGTGTGACTGAAGTATCCCCTTCCAGATTTCTAGAAACTGTTGGATGGTACAAAATTAATGTGAGAAGCCACTAAGTGTGCAAAACCAATCCCTGGATAGTTATGTGCCAGGACGAAAAAATTCATTACAGATGTGACACCAATATTCAGTAATTGCATTCTCAATACTTTTTAAAATCTCAGTAAATCATTTCTTTTTTTCCAAGGTTTTTAAAAATATAAAAAGATAAAAGCAAATTGTAATGCAAAAAAAGAAATTTAATGTTTATATGTTTGGTTAGGAAGAACATAAATTCAAAATATTCTTGCTAAGGAGAATATTTTAATTTGCAACAGAAAAAATTAAAGAAAATGATGCTTTTAGTAGCCACATGTGATGAAAATTGTGATTCATCTAATGTGAATAAATGAAAATTTATGACAAATTTAAGATGGAAACTAAGATGAAAACTTAAAAATAATATGTATATGAACTATTTCCCTATTGTACAAAGTATTAAAATAAAATTATATTATTAACATTGGATCAGAAAGAAAAAAGTTTTGGTTTATGTAATTTTCTTCTAATTGATTTTCTTTCCAATGCTATAATGAAAAATCCTTCTTGCAAATGAATATTACTAAACTTGTTCACAATTATCTTTATAAAAAAATGCATTATGAAAGAATGCAACTGATTTCAGATTAATCGGTACATATTTTATCTATCTTTCTTTTTTATATTATAGACAATCACATTAAAATGATATTTAGTTTACATAGTTACACATATCAAATGTTTTTATGATATGTAACTATTGAAACAAATTGAATTATTGTGATTGTAATTTAAAAAAGGCAAATAGAGCAATAATGCACCTATTAAACTAAAAAATTTATTATTATTATTATTATTATTGTTTCAATAAAATACTCACTGTACAATTCATACATTGCCAAAATATCATCATAATCCAATTGAAAATTAGGTTGATAACCTTTATAATATGGAAACATAATGGATCCAGAAACTGGAGAATGGGCAAGTCCCAAACTGTGGCCCAACTCATGAACAGCCACAGTAAAGAAGTCAACACCTAATGGGGAGAAGAAGAAGAAAAAAAAAAAAAAAAGAATCATCATTCAATAATTTTTATTTTGAACAATTAACACAAACTGAATTTTTCTGCTTTTGAAGATAAAAACATACCACTCTCTAATTCTCCAGGCCTCATCTTCCACTCTTCATCATCATCAAAGTGGATGTCACCCCCATAATTACCATGTTCATATGGAAAGTAGGCATGTGCCAAAATATTTCCAGGGCCATCAAATGGGTAACTAAATGGAAAATAGCATGAAATAGTAGGCAAAGGTGAATTATATCCTCTACAAACAATATTAAAATTCACTGAGACATACTAATCACCATGTGGACCTCGCCCAAAAGCTATAATAATATCAGCATTTGGGTCCCGGCTGTACTGAAAAGATAATCTTGCATATCCACTCCATGAATTAAATGCTTTCTGCATTTCATGAAACACATTTTCTTCTCCTAATTTTGGTGTCCAGTTAGCAATGCTAAACAGAGAGGTTGAACAAGAGTAGCAAGTTGTAACACATGGCTGAAAACATTTTTTTTTTTAATGCACTGGCTGTGATGTAAGTTCATAAAAAGCTCTCAAGTATGTGACCCAGTTGTTCGCTCGTACGCAAATAAAAACACGATACAAAACGTAACATACGAAAAATAAATGAAATAGGATTATTGACACTTCATATCATTGAAATGAATGAATTTAGTTCGCTAAAATGGTTTCAAAACTCTGTTACACTTACAAATAAGTTATATTCCGTTTTTTCCAGCCTTCAGAACCAACAATATATCTCTTGATTCTTTTTCTACGTATGACATCAGGAACCCCACACCTCTTCCGCTTCATTAACTTGTCAATCGGAATATCAACACGGAAAAATGTTAGACCAAGAGCTTTTAATAATGCATTATCACATATTTATATTACATTTATCATAAAACCTGTAGTGTGTTGCTATCTAGAATTCCTGTTTGTGGAATGGCTCCAAATTTTTGCATATTTTTTATAGCTTCTATTATTGCATCCTCTCTATATAAGGCTTCAGAATTCGGAATACCTGGATCAAGGTAGCCAAAACGTTTCATAAATTCTACCTGAAAGAAAAAAAATTATCTGCAAATGCTATTTGAAAAACGCCTGAATACAAAAACAATTTATTCTTACCGCGGTGTCTGCAGGTGGGGGGTTCTCGGGTGCACGCATCGTTGGTGGCACAGTATTACCGTTGTAGATTTCTGCGGTCGCCGGTAGCGGCGCACTAAATACGCATTGCCTTATTAGGCATATTTTTAGTAAAACTAAGCCCACGAACAAAGGATTTAACATTGTTTACATTTCTTTGAACACAATTTTCTTGAAATGATGTACTCTTCAACAAATGAAAGAGGGCGACCGAGGCCTCTTGTGCTGAGACGCTTGCGAATGCTTTCTGTTGAATGATCGCCGCTCGAAAGGCATTATGAACGACTGGGTGACGGATAGAAGGTGAAGAAATGTTAGCCGCATGAATCACATTTCAGCCTAACGCTGGCATAACGAAACAGGTTTCGCGGATGAATGAGAAGTTATTTCCTTTACAAAACATTGTGTCTGAGATCCGGTTTTTAATTTCCGACCATATCCGAATTCCTTTTTTTTTAGGGGGAGTGAATGTGATAAAATGCCTGACAGCAGAAGACAGAATCAGCTTACGCAGCTCTCTCTCTTACTTATTCAGTCAGATCCATTTATAGTAGTCGCGATTATTTAGGTTTAGAACTGATGGCGGGTTGGGGTCTGTCTGGATAGAAATTCTAATGAACAGGTTTTAGGCTAACTACTTTTATTAACTCGGCCTATCTTTCTATGGAAAACACGTGAATCATATGTCAATCTCCTTGAAAAGTTTTCCTTAACTGCGTAACTTGTATAGTACCTAAAGCGTTTCGTCCTTAGATAATAAATATGGTCCGACCGGCTTGTGGAGGAATGCCCGGATGTTTGAAGCGACGTGAAGTATATAATTATTTATTGCAATATGAGTACATTTCAAGACTGGAGCTACCCGAATTATGAACTGTTCGCATGAAGAGAACTCACAGAATATCTCATTTTAGAGAGGCCTGTGTCCCCCCTTTCCGAGGCATATCAGCCTTATGCTTTCTGAATTTTCAAATCGTAAGCCCCTGGAGTAAGGAAGTAAGTGTGGTTACTTCTCGAATAACTCTCGGGAATGATGTTTTTTGAGAATTGAACAAGTAATTTAAAATCGATTTTTCCATCTCTATGACGACGCGCGGTATAAACATTTTCTTACATTGCAATAGGACAATTGTTTCAACATCCAAAGAGAGTCGACTTTTTAATGAGAAGAAAACGCTTGTTCTCCACGTTTTAACTCTTGGAAAAATTTTAATTATCTGGGAAAAAAGAGTTTCTGTAAGTGGAAGTTTTTGCTAGAAATGCTTGCATTAAACATTTTTTCGATTTCCGTGACGGAAAAAAATAAAACCACATAGCCATTTAAATATTACATCGCTATCTAAAGTGGAAATATCATTATTAGTAATTATAAACAACCTTCTTAACAATGGCCCCAAGTATTGTTCCCTTGGTTTTATTACTTTTTATCATAAATACTGTAATTTTATAAAGACTATGATCCCTGAATAATTGGGAAAATTGCATTACTGCTAAAAAAATAAAATTATTAGAATTACAAATAGTGTGCAATTATATTTAACATAATTTTCCCTCTTGGCAGTAGGTTTATTAATAATTTCATCAAAATAAAATATGGATTGGACATTGACCATTGATAGTGCCAGTAGCTCATCTACTTCAGCGTCTGAAAGTCTTTCAGCATCAGAAGTATTTCATGAAGAAAAAGTTGAAGAGGAAGAAGTAGAAGAGGAAGAAGAATCTAAAATAACAGATATCGATGCTTTAGTTGAGGGCAGTGAAACAGAATTTGATTCATCATTTACTCCATTTGTAAGATTCTGATATAACATGTTTTGTTTTGTATTACAGGGAAATTTATATTGAATTATTTATGTGAAGTTTTATTTTCGACCTAGACACTTCGTTGGACTTATGGAAGAAATGTGCATGTACCTTTTGTGAATTTGACCTCTGAAAATCGTAAAAGTATATTTTATTCAGCAGCCCATATTGGAGTTCTTTATGATTATGAAGATAAAGTGATGAAGTTTCTGCAAGGCCATGTAAGACTGTCAAATGTTTTGGGACTTTGTAATTATGTTGTCGTATAAATGAAAAGAAAATAACATTCAATAGCAATTTAATTTTTTTATCACTAAAATTAAGTCAGAAATGTATAGTATTCAATTTTGGAAGTCTATTTTTCTCATGGTATTTTCCAGCAAAATTGCATTACATCAATTGCTTCAGATAGTTCTGGGAAGTGGATTGTCACTTCAGATGCTGGAAAAGATAATGTTATTATTGTGTGGAACTGTGAAACCTGGTATGTTTTGAAAATATTCTGAGTTTAAAATTTCATGTTCTCTTTTAATACAAAAAACAACAAAACGTTATTCAGAGTGTGTGCATTATAGCTTGCCAACTTGCACAATATTTGATCCTCATGGTGAAGATGGCACTACACTTGTGGGAATGAGCCCTGATGCTACTTTCTTGGTTTCTGTTAGTAATTCAAAGGATCAGATTATAGCTTGTTGGAAGTGGACTCTTGGTGAAAAGAAACCTAATGGTATAGATTTGATAAATGTATCTAAATTTAATATTTAATTTCTTCATTTTAATAAGAAAAGTTAATGCTGAACTTTTTTCAGGAGAATTTATATTACCATTTCAATATGGGAAAATTCATCGCATTGTGTTCTGTGAAGATAAGAATGGAGATTTTATGTTGACTGCAGAATCTTGTGTGTTGTTTGGGATATGGGTGAGGTTCTACTTTATCACAAATGAGATCATATTAAAAAACTTTTCAATTGTTTTATTACATCTTTTTTCACTTAGGAAGATGACAATTTGACTGTTCATATACAAGAAAAACCTAAAAGTAGTAAATTAATAAATTGTAAATTATGCTGTTCTGTGTATCAGAATTATTCACATTATGCTTTAACAACTACAGATACTGGTTAGTATTTCATATACCCTTTTAATATTTCTGTCTAATTGTTTTACTCTTTAAAAATATTTCAAATAGAACATGCACTCTGAGTTCAAATTTTTAAAACTTCTTCTGTGATTTTTAAAAATTTTCTTCATAATTTATGGCTTATATTTCCAGTGTCATTTGCCTTTTACGGGGTTAATAAAGTATCTAATGATTTGTTGAAATTTTACCTATCAGGTCATTTACTTATGTGGAGTGATGTTCCCTTTAGTTCAGTATTCAATAATGAAATACCTTGCAATAATAATAAAACTTTATTGAAAACATTGGTTCTTGATAAGGAATCCATAGAAGTAATCAAAGCTTACAAAGAGTAAGTACAAATTTTCTTATGCTACTAGATATTTGAATTAATTTTTATTTATTTATTTACTGACATAGTTCATGATATTCTAGCTTTTAGAATAGAATACATATATATTGTATACATAATTATCCATAGAGATTGAAACTACTATAATTTTTTTTCTCCAAAATCTTGAGGATAATGTTTTTTAGTTAATAAATAATTTCTAAGGAAAAAGTTGCATTTCAAATGATTATTGTTAAATTTAATCATGTGGATGTGAGTTAATAAAATTTAAGAATTTTTTTAAATTTCTGCATTCTATGATGATCAAAATGATATTTATAGTATTCTGATATAGTCTGACCAGATAATATTAATATTCCTCCTTAGGATTATTATCACAGGAAATGTGTCTGGAGAACTTCGTTTCTATGATAAAATGATGAAGATCTTATATTGGGTACAATCCTTTCAGCTTTGTGCAATAACTGAAATCAACTTTCATCTGTGGTATGAAGGCTCTACTGATAAACTGGCAAAAGATGGATCTTGTAAGTTTGAAAGAATTTCATGATTTTTTATAATTATTGCAATAGGTCTCAAGGTTTTTTTTTCTCCAAATATGAGTATAATTACTTTTAAAATAAATTATATATGTACCTAAATTACAACATTGCAGTTTAAATTAAGTGTATCTTGGTCTTGAAAAAATTATGAATTTTTAAAAGAGAAACCTATATAGAAGTATTCCTTATAGCTAAACAATTTGTTATTTCTTCTATAATTACTGATTTTAAAAATTAATGGTTTTTAATTTTCAGGTACAATAAGTGACAGAATGGATCCATTTAAACCTTTCTATGCTTTGGAGAAAGCCTTTGAGAGGGTTCTTGAAAAAGAAAAAGAGAAATTAGCAGAACTCAGACTTTTGCTGAAGGCTGCAAAGAAACCAGAAAAATCAGCGCAACATCCTGATGAAGCTTTGATAGGAGATATTATTCGTGATGTTCTGAGGGATGTGGAACAATGGGATGTTAATGAAACTGATAAAGAAGAACTTATTCAAAAGATAATTAAAACTGCTGTTGATCATGTTGAAAGTAAACTGTCTGCTGCCTTAGATCATACAGAGGAACTTATTGAAGGATTTTTAAGTTCAATTTTTTCAGAAGTTGATGAAGATATTCCTGCAAAACACTCAAGAGATGTTGCACACGCAGTAATGAGTGAAATAATGCAATCATTTGATCATAAAATGGATAATAATGGAGTAAATGAAATTTTTGTGAGAGATGTACTTGAGGAGATGATAGATACAGTTAGTATAGTTGAGGAAGCTCTGGAAAAAGATGATGTGGATGATTCAAAAGGTCTCACAGAGTTGGTGGTTGAAAATGTGTTTCAAGCAATTGAAGAAAAGTTTGCTATTGATACACAAAAAGTAGTGGAGTTAATTGTGAGAAATTTGATCAAGGATTTTGAAAAAAAGGAATCAGGAAGTCAGAGAGAAATTGAACAAGTTGAGCATGAAATTGAAATGGGAAAACATCCTAAAATATTCTGCCGCCTAAAGAAAATAATAGAGCAACGTATTGAAAAAAATGATGAATTGCGAATTCCTTCTGATGCAACGTTGGAAAGAAATCCATTTGTGATAGGAGATTTTATGATATGTATGATAAAATATTTTTAATTTGTAATAAGTGAGGTGATATTAAATTGATGTCTTTTTTATTCAATTTTCAGCCACTGTTAATGGAGACATAGGACTTGTGAACTTTATTAATAATACATACACAGTTATTCTGGACAAGTGTGTAAGTCCAATAACAGCACTGGATTGCCATGTGGGAAAGTAAGTTATGAAGAATTAGATACAAGGAATTTTAAGTTTTGATTTTCTAATTTTGTTTTACAAAAACATTTTTAAATTTAGCTTTCTGCGAATAACTTTTCAGACAACAATTTGCAGTGGGTAATGCATCAGGCTCTGTCATTTTATATAATTTTATAAAGACTAGAACTAAAGTGCTTGAAACGCATTTGAATTCCAGTGAAGAAGAGCGTGGAGTGACAGCTGTGAAATTTGCCCCATCAGGTGACTTTCTCATATTATGTATTAATGCATGGGTTCTCAAACTATTCTACGCTTACCTCCAAGGCAATATAGTAAATTTGTAGTAGGACCTGAACAACTTCAATGGGAAGATTAACCACTTTGTTACTTCATTGCATTAATTATAATCTTGAGCTTCTTTCAGACCTTGTAATTTATTTTATTTCTTAAAGAATGTTAAATATTTTTCTCCAAATTTGATTATTTTTTATTTTTTTAATTATTTTCTATATACATTACAAGAATTTTTTCAGAGAAAAAATGCTTTTATAGTTTAGCCAGATAATAATATTAGAAATCTGTACATTTGGAAATTTCATTGTGGGTGTACATTAAACATTTAGCCATGTATCAGGGTTAGGTGAAGGTTGTGCATTTGATCTTCATTTCAAGAGGAAGATCTTCAAGAGACTTCGCAAAAAACGTCTTCCCACTCCTTGACGCAAAATTTAAGTGAACATTTTTAGGTTTTTGTATATACCTTGAAAACAGTGAGGAAATTGGCGAAGGATCCAGATTTGGATCCAGGTTTTCCAAAGGTTCATAAAATATGGTACCAAACCTACTTGCTTTCATTCCAAAAATGCAATTACGTTTTTTAGTAATTCTAATAAAATTTGAAAATTTGTTGCAACAGGGCAAGGTAGGAAGGATGCAAGGCAGGACAAAGCTGGGAGGGCAGAGTGAGATGGAATAACAGGAAAGTTAAGGTTTTAAATAATAATCTTTGTATTTTATGCTATGGATAAAATTCCCACCTTTCCCGATCTTGTTTTAATATTTTTCTAAATTTAATTTGTTGTGTTTTTAATTGACACAACACGGCTCCGAGCCCCTTGATGGGCATTGAGCACATTGCGCTTTTGGAGTAATCCTCCATTAATATCAGCGCGGGTGTAATCCTCCATTAATATTTTAATATGTCATATCCATCTTGCCTTGTCGTAGTCAGTTGTCAAGAGGTCTATATAATAAATTATTCAAATAAGTAAATGCCCTGGTAATGTGGGACTACTTCTCCTTTATACAACATTATTTACATGTTGTTGTGAATAGTAGTTAAAAAAACACTCAATAATAGATGTCTTAATTGAATAATTATAATTAAGTAATTGTTGAAGTAAATTAGTGATATAATTAATAGAATTAAAAACCATCCTCACAGTCAGTAAATTTAATCATCATTACAGGATTCTTTTTGGCATGTGGATTGGCAGATGGTTCATTTTGGATTCTTGATTCATCAGTATTAAATCCACTTTCAAAGACACCCCATGTTCATGTGGATGCACCCATTACTCAAATTTGCATCTCAGATGATTCTTTATGGATTGCACATAAAGTTAGTATAAACTGGCAGTATTTCAGATCTTCATAATTTTTTAATGAATTTTATGTGTTAAACATTTTTAAAATATTATGTTTAGGACACAGAAATGAGAGTTTGTTTGTATCGATGTGAAGATCCATCTGGTGCTGAAATTGAATTCATGGGCAAGCAAAAGAGTCACTTTAAACCCATAAGAGACTTGATGTTCATGCGATCATTAGAAGATGAATTGCATTTATATTCTTTAGGTGAAGACCGAATGCTAGTGGAATACGATTTGATTCACAGGTTGGATTATACACAAGTTACCTTGAAATGTTAATATATTTTTACTTTTTGTCTTAATATATTTTTACTCTTATATAATATTTAATTTATGCCTTTGTTTTACAGTGAAGCAGATGATTTGAAAATTCTTTTAATTGAAAGAATAGAGCAGAGTGCTATCCCATATTGTATGACAGTGTATCCCAAGTTTGGAGTGGAAAATTTCATTCTTGTTGCTAATAGTGAAGTAAGTATGTAATTAACATATTTTGTGTTTATTTATGAAATCATTTTTTTTAATAATGCAATATTGATTTTTTCAGTACAAATTTAAAATATTTAATGATGACAGTAGACTATGTCGAAAAACTGCCTTAGGTCCAAGATTTGAAAAACCAGTCTCCAAGATTGTGGTGAGTATTGTTTTTCTTCTTCTTCTTCTTCTTCTTCTTCTTCTTCTTCTTCTTCTTCTTCTTCTTCTTCTTCTTCTACTGAACAGTTTTGTTATGGTAGCACGTTTTGCCCACGTCAATCGATTTATCGGCTGTCCGGTTTCGGTGTGGACCCACAAACGTGGATTTGGGATTTCTTTTTCTAAATTTAAAACTGGATGTATTCACCTTTCCTAATTCAGGGTCCATCAATAAGTGATTTTTCTGCGGAAAATTCGCAGTTTCTTCTCGCGGCGTTACATTAACTCTCTCTAACTGCGTAGCGGTATAGGGCGAGAAGCCGGAGTAAAAAAAAGTGGTAAACCGCCAAGCGAATATAACCTCCATACGTAAGTATTGTTTTGGAGCATTTCGTAGGTTTGCTAATCCTATTTTAAAATAAGCAATTGCTAATATAAAGTAATGAATAATTCTTCAGCTTTCAAAAGCTAACGGCAATAGTGTGGAGAAAAATGTGTCCGTTGCGGGCTAGGGAGTGAAGCTGTGAGACATTGCGCTGAGGCCTATGACTTCCTTTGAAAGTGATTTTTTATTAGAACGTGAGTGGTGAAAACCAGGAGATGTAGTATGGTATTCTTAAACCGAAATAAGAGTGATTAATTAGGTTTTGCACAATAACTTAGTTCTAATCCCTGAGTTATTAATTTTTACTATTGCAGGATTTGGACTATATTCTCATTTTAAGAAACAAGCACATAGGATGTTTAAAGAATAAGTTTGAAATTAAAAAATTTTTATTCTGTTTTTTCATGATCAGCCAGTTCACACAATGGTCCAGGTGAATAGCATTGATATATATCTACTGCATACACCAGACACTAATTTAAATGATCCTACAATTTTGTTTTTATACTGTATGAGCCAAGTTACTGGAAAGTAAATGTTTAAAATGAAGTTTGATAAACTTTGTCTAACATTATAAAATTAACAAACATAAACAAACAAACACTATCACCAACCTTCACTAACACAATATTCAACATTTATTATATTACTGTTCAATAATTAAAAAACTAATTGTTGAAAATGAAATTGTCATATCGACAGAAGAAATCTCGGTATCTTCAATAATGTAAATTCTTTTGAGAGGCGCTTCAAAAATTGGAAAGTCTTTGCAATTCTAAAAAGTGCTAGGCAAGTAGACGAGGGTAGCCAATGAAAATCAAATTTATGCCTCATTTTTCTGAAGTTTTTGACTAAATATATCTTTATATGCAAATTTGGAAGAAAAGATTGCCCAACTAATTTTAAAAGGGAGCTTCATGCCTGAAGTAAGTACCCCAAAATTTCAAAAATCATTTTTAAATCGCAGGGCTGAATTGCGTCAATTGCGACCAGAGTAAATACATTCAATATATCATTTTGGAAAAAACGTGAACAAGATATATCAGAAAATAATTATTTTTTAATTCAACATAGCCTTTTGTTCATATAACCTACGGGTGCCTGAAAAAATTGGAAAGTTTTCAGAAATATTTTTTAAATTAAAATAAAGCTGATAACTTTCACACTTAAATATTGATGCATTTAGGGTATAAGCCTTTAAGCCCAGAAGGCTCAAAATATCAATATTATGCAATTACATATACCAAAGAAGAAAGTATCCACACAACGAATTAATTTAGAAACCATTATGGTTTATATTGAACACATGATGGGAAAATCAGGTGTTGTATAATTATCAGTATTGAATTATGTGGATGTGTAGACCAAAACAAGTTCTAAATAAACGACATAAATCACCTGAGATAAGTCCAATAAAATAACATTCCGACAGATTTGTATGGATTTCAGAATCAAGAGGCAGCCCATTATGAAGATGCAAATTGTGCGTTATTCACAAGCGCAATACACCATGCATTAGGCCTCCATACCTGTTCATTACCTATGCGAAGAACGCGGATCTGCTAAAGAAATATGTACCAAGGAAAAAAGTTCCATAATTCAATAAAAAGTAAGCCACAGATGAGAGGAGGAGACAAAAGAAACCCAAAAAGTCCAAAAAGGCCGGCAAAGCAGGTAAACGAAGACAGAAGCAGGATAGAGACTGTGCAGCGGAAGAAGAGAGACAAGTGAGACGAAGCCCAAGAGAAGAGGAGAAGGAGCGAGAAATAGGAGAAACGAAGAGCGAGAGAAGAGAAGGAGAAGCGAGACAGAAGGCGGCGGAGAAAGCGAAGTAGGAGAAATGTGAGTATGGATATAGGAGAGAGACAGGAGAACGAGAAGGAGGAGAAGACCAGAGAGGAAGGACGAAGAGAGAAGAAGAGAGAGAGGAGTGAGAAGAGAAGAGACAAGAAGAGCCGAGTAGGAGGAGAGACGAGGAGAGGAACCGCAAGGGAGTGCCAGCGAGAATAACGAGAGACGCGGACACGGAGAGAAATCGAGAAGGAGAAGGAGAAGACGAGGAGAGAAAGCGAAGAAGGAGAACGGAGAAAGGAGAAGGAAGGAGAAGGGAGAAGGAGGAAGAAGCAAGAGAGCACAAAGAAGAAAGCCTACACGCGCCACGAAAGACCAAGAGCAGCAACGAGCGACAGAACTAGAGCGAAGAAGAAGCAAGTTCACAGAAGAGAGGAAAGAAGAGAAGAACCACTATCAGAGTAGCATCTAGCGCGACCAAATGCGTTCGCGACCGAGGACTGGCGTATCTGCAAATCGGTCGAACCTAAAGCCATGATGTCTTTCTCAACATAGCAAATCATCAACGATCCATCATTAAACATATATCTTACGATTGCGTTTAAAAAAATCGAAGAAATAATGAGCCCAGTATAGCTAGAAAAAAAATATTCAAAATAAAATAACAGCAGAATGATGTGTAGGACTAATAATCTAACTTACCAATACACTATTATGCCAACAGCAAAGAGATGATGATAATATATACCTACTCCAAATAGGGGGTGGACTACCACAGTACCGTACACACGAGGTATGGCGGAATAGCACTGCTGCCTTCACCTTCCGTGTTCAGAATTACAAAAGAATTTCAAACTCGAGCTGCTTGCGGACCTGAAATAAGACACTAAAGAGTGGTGCCCTGTAAATTGGAAGAGTCGATGTTTATATAAGAAGTAAAAGAAAAAATGATCTAAGGGAAAAACGAGTGATAAAAGAAAGTATAAATTAACATAATATACGAACGGAAGTAAACTTGGTGTTTAATAAATCAGATCCGAGAATAAATCAAATCTTAATATTATCACACTAATGCATCTCAGCTGTCTTTCACCGCTCAAACAGAAAAAATAATTAAGATGAGTCAATTTCATGCATAAATGCTAGATGTATCCACAGCCTGTGAAATAAAAAACAATTTGAATTTTTAATATGCGTAATTATTTTGTTGTATTTGTTTTTTGATATTACAATCACATAGCAATTAGTGAGAACTCTATATAGGGTAAAAATTTTAAGGTTCATATTAATTTCTAGAGCAAGGATGCTTCCGCGTGAAGACCGAATAAACCCCTGTACCAATATTGAACTTGATGAAAAGGTATGTTATTATTTTTTTCAAAGCATTAAATTTAGAATAGAAACAATCAAGTCTTCTTTCACGCGTTTAAGATGTAACGCATATTTCCCTGTCACCCATTGCCGCAATGAATTCAATATTTTCACCATTAGCCCAAAACCAATGTGCCCATCTTCACAAGATCCCAGATGACCACAATACCAAACTCTCACTTTCCTTTCTATCTTAAACATATATTTATTTTAATTAATAGTTGTAACTACAATAAAATCTTATTTAATATAAATTTTTATAGACAGTTATGCTGATAGATACTAAGTCGCTGCCAGTTTATACTAACTTTTATGGCTCTGACCATTCCCATTAAAGAGGATTCCATCTAGATTATGCAACAAGTGTTGTGTAACAGGATTGGTTAACTAATGAGAGGATGTAACAACTGAGTAATTCGGATCTATTGTGACTAGAGTCCACGGGTGTGAAAAGGACGAACCAACAAGTACAAACATTGCTACCGAGGCGGCGACGCCGAACCCGGCGATTGCAGCGGGATCGATACTATTGGCAGTGTTTCATATGATTAAGAGTAGCGAAACATTTTTCTATATTAACTGATGACACCGGGTCTAATCAAGAATCCAAATTGAACGCGACCTCTGCCAATCCGACATGCGCAAAAAAGGACAATCCAAGGTGATAATATGATGATTGCACAAATGTTTACTGATCGTGATAAGACCCAGGATAGGTGTGGTTATTATACATATTAATTATAATTCACTAATTAATATCACTTATCAACAATTACATTAATTAAATGAGATATTCAATTAAGACATATCTCATACTTGAGTTTTGTGTTTATAATTACTTACATACACACCAACAACAATGATAATAACATATAATGTTTTGGCAATTTATGGTATAAAGGAAGAAGGTGAGCTCCGAGATACCAGAAAAGGCAATTCTATTCTCTAACTTAAATAAAGGTCTTTTAATTAGAACTAGAGCACTCTTCAAACTTTTAGCATTACCCACATGAACTACAGCACTAAGGCCGAACACCCTGCGATTTTAGTGGACAATACTAATTAAACACCAATATACTATACTTATAGTGGCTGGCCCATGTGATATACACACACACAACATGTGATTTATATAATCTGGAAGGGATACTACTAGAAAACCGGCAAATGATGATCGTCATAAATGAGCCACATCATCATTACAAGGGCAATCCGCGAATGAGCCTGTTGTTGTGTGTCAAATTAACAACAGACACAACAAATTTAAGATTTAGAAAAAAATATTTAAAACAAGATCGGGCGCACGCCGCATTCTTATCCAATAGCTGCATAAATAACAAAGATTATTAATATATTGAAAACCTTAACCTTCGCTGTTTATCCCTCTCACTAGTCTTGAACAAGCCTCCCAGCTTAGTGGTGCCGTGCCTTGCACTCCCTTTACCCACTATATC